TAAGATAATGCAACTAGAATTTCAGCTCATGGATACTCAGCTAGACTAAATTTTCAAGAAGCTTTTTACAGAAACCAATTTCTCACAGTGCTTCTGCTCTCAACAATTCCTGTCCACTGTGATAAATATGTGTGAGCTTCATTTTTGTGAATTTCCCTGTTGATCTTTCATGTATCATGTGCCCAGTCAAATATGGATCATCTACTCTTTCCCTAGTCAATTCTGTAGTCTTTGTCTGATGTTTTTTTTTTTGTTTGCCCTGACTTCTTTTATTCTGGTTTTATATATTTATATACTGGTACTTTCAAGGATCACTGATGTTAAACTCATGAGGATATGATTTTAAACTTTGTCTCAAAATCCTTTGCATTCTTCACCGACAAGCGCTTCTTCATTTCCCTTACTTATAAAATTTTCCCAAAACCAAGATGCATCCTTTGTTATCAGAGTCTTGTATTCGTTGAGAAAAGCATTCATGTTGACTGTCAAAAGAGATCAAAACATATCAGTTGAAGACTGTCATCATGGATGGCTTGGAGTATGGCATCTGAGGTGCACTTGAACGCCAGAATTTAAGTGTGGTGCCTTGATAGGTATAAATTCTGACCTCTGAGTAACTTTCAGATCCACCAATCCAAACCGTTCATGCTGGCAGTGTTTGAGAAGTAATAACAGGGATAACTCACCGTTGCTAAACCTATCGCGCGCATCGCCTTGGAGTGTTGGAAGCAAGGCACATCAACTCTTCTGTATAAAGAAAGTGAACATTGCTTTTCCGTAACACACCTATATTAACAGGAATCTTTCTTCTGGGATGATCCAGAACGAGCTGATATAAATCAATTTGTACGTGCTGGCTTGTGACCGGATCCAAAAACACAATCGAACGTAAAGCTAGTAATCCCTGTTGGATTACTAACTCCTCGTCTTTAAAATGTTCCATATACGTCACATTATCGCTGATAGTTTGACTTTTCGAATCATAGTGGCCCTTGAGTGAAGGTGAACCCTCATCAAAGAGGTTGGTCACCATAAGTGCAATCCTATCTATCTCGTTTTGAGCCTCTGTTAGGGTTGTTAATCACGCCCACTGACTACCAAAGAAGATCAGTATTCTTGATTGGATTGCAATGTTCAAATTTCGACAGGATGCTCACAATATTCCGAAACAGAAGCGCTTTCTGAATACACCGACATCGTAGGATTCATGAATGGATTCAATTAATTCAATCAGTCACTTTTCCTGGTTCTAAAAAAATTGGTATTCAAATACGTCCACAAATTTTACTCAAGTTGTGGAATACGACGTCAAGTATCAGTTTATCTGATAGGCTAAGAGCTCAGGATACTCGAGCTAGTATGAGACAATACCACAAACACTACTTCGGCTAGTGCTCCTCTCAAGCAAGTCAGCAACGACCTTTCGGATTTTTTGATTTTTTTTTCCCTCTCTTCTTTGTATCCATTCCTTTAATATGATCTAGACCTCACCGATGGAGTTATAATCCTCAAAGTCATACCAGAAATGGTTTGTTCGAAACCAGTTTGGGGAACAAACACAATACCTCTTCACGCGTATCATCGGTCCCCCTTCGCTGAAATTCCTCTCACAGCGGGCTATTAAATTGAAAAAAACTGTTCTGTTCTCGTATGACAGAACCTGAACATGAAAGCGTTCTTCTTATCAAAGAGATTTTAACTGATTTCTTCTACTGTACAGAGGAAGCAGTTGTTCCTCTGGTTCAGTAAATGGCTCTGCAGGGAAGAAGCAATCCCTGCTTCTGTACGAGTTGGAATTTCTTCAGAGGTGGTGTGATTTCAAAAGATTAAAATTCGACATAAAAAGGCAATAAATCTTTGGTCAATTTTTTTTTTTTTTCTTCACATGTTTCAAATTCCCCAATGCCCAAGAGACAACTGTTATTTACAAGCTAAGTAAATGGCTGTATAGGGAAGAAGCAGTTTGCTGCTTTTGTACTCTTTGGAATTTCCTCAAAGATTGTGATTTTAAAATCCCACATGAGAGAGGATGTTACGTTTTTGACATGCAGGTTCCCACTTTTGTATCGCTGTACCAGTCCTCATCAGAACAACATCCAGGTCGAACACCAGCTGTAGAGAGAGTATTTCCTAATGCTCTTAGTCTTAAGCAGAACCACCGTGCCAACTTTCTTGTATTTCAAGTTTTGACGTGAACAGACAAGTGGTGGCACAATGCGACAGGATATGGTTATGTGATCTCCAACATCTATATCCATCACATTTATACGAACAACTATCCAGAATACGTGGGTTGTATAGGCCTTCCAAGCGCTGATCTCTATATGAGTGAAGGTACCTTTTTATTTACAAGTTCTTGCATCACACCCTCTAATACATCTGTAGCCAGCGTAATTTCTTGATGATCGACTATGAGACTGGGTACAAATCTCACAGTTGAGTTCCCACAGCTCAATACTAGTACGCCCCTTTCCCGACACATCTTCACAACTTCATTCACATGTTCCGCGTGCTTCATTGACATACCTGCCATCAGACCACGTCCTCGAATCGGGCCCGATATCAGATTCGGGAATTGCTCTGACAACGCAGTCAGTCGAGACTTGAGATATAGGCCAGTTTGTTGAACTTGAGTGAGAAAGTCGTCGCGCGCAATCCTCTCCAATACGTGATGTGCAATCGAGGTTTGCAACGCGCCACCGCTTGGAAAGTTTGCTGCTCGTCAGGTACGCAGTTTTACGTGAAGACAGGATCCTGGTGGAAAAGAGAAAGGACGCGACATACCCAAAAGTAGTACCGTGATCACCTATTGGCAGCGTTTGAAGAGACGATTCAGAGGGCGTTGAGCGAGAAGGGTCTAAATGCGGGAACGGACATACCTAATTGGATTACGTTGGACACTTCGTTTCTCATCAGGATGGCCCCAATTGGAATGCCATTAGCAAGTGGCTTTGCCATCGTCAAGATATCCGGATGACAATCGGGATCAAATGATGCGTGCGCCCACAAGTTACCAGTTCGGCCCAGACCACACTACCACACCAAAAAAAAAAGGGGTTTGGCTACAGAGCTACTTGTAAAGACCACGATTGTAACACTCAATGAAAGCGTACCTGAATCTCATCAAATATGAGCACCGCCTTCACTTCATCGCATCGACGTCTCAGAGCACGCAGAAAATCTTCGGAGGCTTCTATAACCCCCCCTTCTCCCTAATAAAGTATTTGGTAAAATGAATTAACACTTCAGAATACTTTTAGACTATTCCGAAAATCTTATCACAACTTACTTGAATCGGTTCAACAATCACACCACATGTCTCTTCTTTTATCAAATCATTAAGAGCCGGAATTTCGTTGAGCTTCCCAGCCACAACACCTGGAATTAGAGGTTCGAAAGGAGCTTGATATTTTGGTTGATGTGTAACAGACAAAGAGCCCATCGTGCGTCCATGAAAACCATCACCAAAACATACCTGAAGGATTTCGTCACCTTCAGTTTACTCAGGTTAGCGATGAAAATAAGGAATAGAAAATGAACATACCAGTTGGTGTTTCTTTCCTGTGGGGTCTTGAACTTTACCAAATTTGCGAGCAAACTTTAGTGCACCCTCCTTGAAAAAAAAATTAAAGCAGATTAAGAAAGTCGAAACAGATTCAGTCATGAGTCGCAAGGTCGGAGTAACGTGATATATACGATTATAAGGGATGGTAAGGAATGATAATAAAGTAATTTTTGTATCAGTTTTTCTTCCTCCATCATGAGCCTTTTAAGACGTTCAATGTATGTAGAATTAGGTACACTATTTTTTAATCTCTCACATTAGCCTCAGCACCTGAGTTTGCAAAAAAAACTTTGCAGCCGGATTGATTAGTATCAGTCTTTGTCGATGAGCTCGAGAATCCCATCCCGCCATATTTCTTTGTTTTCTCGACCAAACTGACTGCTAATTCTCCTGCGTATGGATTATGAAATAGGTTCGAGCTGTGTATCAAAGTTGAGGCTTGCTCCCCTAAGAGTTTGGCGACTATAATCAATGGAAAAAGTTTGACATCGAGTCAGCCGATTTGATGAGCTCCCAAAGGAATTTAAATCATATGCCACTTGTCACTGACTCTGGTCATCGGCGTGTCCTGTTCGTTTTTTTTTTTTTTCGG